CCCCAAAACCCCAAAACCCCAAAACCCCAAAACCCCAAAACCCCTGAATTTGTCAGATACATTGAATTTAGTTACTCTGATTTTGACGTCACTTTTTTAGGCTTTGGAATCCATGGAATGAATGGACTCACTCTCGATGCATATTCTTGGAACTCAGGATCCTTCATATGCTTCTTTTCGAGGAAAGGAACACCTGAACGATACCTAAGGAGATAGTTCATGAGGATTGGAGAGAGAATACTGAAATAGCAAAATCCGTTTGGATTATTTCCAAAGCTGAGCAGGAAGATACCCCACCACACTACAACTTCTCCAAAATAGTTTGGGTGTCTAGTATATGCCCATAGGCCTTCTTTACAGTATCTTTCCATTTTCATTCCATTTCTTGCTGCTAGGTCTCTCTTCTCTCTGTACTTATTTAGTTGGTGATCGCCAATTGCTTCAAAGAAAAAGCCGAACAGGAAAATTGAAACTCCAAGAATGTCAAATATTGTAACATTGTTGTTTGTAGACCAGATAATGATGTTGCATGGAGAATAACATGCGAGAGTCATCAAGGCCCATTGAAGCATGAAAATGTATCTGTAGATCTTCTTCTGGAAGATTTCTGGATCGTCATCGTGGAATCTTTTCCTAAGAATGACATATCTCCAGTCTTCACCCTCGTGGTTAAGTCCAATATGCCAGGATAATCTAAGTCCCCAGGCTGCAACACAGATTGTCACTCAGATTGCTCTCCAGTTGAGTGAATCAGTAGATGTGAAATATAAAATAAGCAATTGAACACTTGTTTGGATAACGAAGCCCATGCCCCATGCAATATCGATCAAACTATACTCATCTTTGCTCTTTCCTATCAAATAAGTTACATGAAACATGGCCCATGCACAAAAGGCTGGCAACCAATACCACAGAGTTCCTGTGAGTAATCTATATCAAAGGGTTATGGCTCAGCTGGATGTTCTAAAACACTTCATTGCTCCTTACTCTATTGGAGATAAGTTCATTTTAATTTCCGGAAAAATAATTACAATTCAAAGATATTCTGTGAATAAGGGGTTTTGGGGTTTTGGGGTTTTGGGGATTGGGGTTTTGGGG